CATGACCCTCATCCTCGGCGACTGCGACGAGTTCCGCAAGATCAAGTGAGCGGCGGCGCCGCGGGGGAGCCCGCGAGAGGGGTCAACGAGCGCGGCCTGCCCTTCCCGGCCGCCGCGGCCCCGGGAGGCCGCTGGACCTTCCAGCGCCCCCGTGGTGAGGCGCTGGCGCCCCGAGGCCCTTCGCCGCCTGTTCTGATTCTATCAGACCCGTTCCGAACCAGATCAGCACACAGTATTTAGGGTGGACATCTATTGCGAGATTTTGCAGGAATATAGTGATGACTTCAGTCTTGCATCTCAAAACCCAGTATTAGTAAACTTAAGGGGGGAACGTTTTGTTCTTATTTCACCTTTCCTTTCCAAAGTACTATATCACTTTTGTTTCAAATGTTGCCCAATAGCCAAAACATACTTTTAAGTGATGCCAAGCTAGTCAGTGTAACAGCTAAGCATCATGGAAGAAATTTCATGGAGACAGTAGAGATCTTGCATTTATACTTTTCTATCTTCTTAAGTTTGGGGCACATAAACATGTGTTTTTTATGGCAGGTTCTGTAGTTTGGCATGAAACTTTTTCTTCTGTCTTGTAATGTTTTCTTTCTTTTTTTCTTCATTAGACCTAAGAATTCAAAACAGCCAGAGCGGGAGGAGAAACGAGTCCTTGGTCTAGTGTTGCTACGAGGAGAAAACCTGGTGTCCATGACAGTTGAAGGGCCACCTCCAAAAGATGTAAGGAGAATGAGCACAGAACTAAAGAGAAAAGGAAAAGATGTCTGATAAATTTCCTTCCTTGCAGGAGACTGCTACTACAGCATTATTCTAGACTTCCAGATGCTGCTGTGAATCTGGATCCAAAGAACTTCACTGTAGGAAGTTCCAGTCTGTTCACTATCTCAGAATCACTGGACAGAGGAGGGCTGTGGGGACTCCTAGGACCTGGAGACTTTACTAATCATTTTTTTGGGTGGGGGATGTTGTCTGTTTTCAGACTGGAATTGCCCGGGTACCTCTTGCTGGAGCTGCTGGAGGACCTGGAGTTGGGAGAGCAGCTGGGAGAGGAGTACCAGCTGGTGCACCCATGCCACAGGCTCCAGCAGGATTAGCTGGCCCTGTCAGAGGAGTGGGAGGACCATCCCAGCAGGTGAGATACTGCAGCCCATTAAAAAAAGACTTGACTGATATATTCTGGGGTGACTTTTAGTTCTTGCTGCCGATATGATGCCAGAAGTTGATGGAATGAAACAACTGCAATCTCAGATTCTGATTTCAGAGTTTTAGAGACAAGTGAGGTTTTTTTAGTACCAGCTCCCACTAGGAATTCTGAAACTGATACCCTGAAAGAAGAGGCTTGGAAAGTACAGCTTCCTGGACAGAAGTCAAGTGGTATTCAGGGAACTGTAGTAGAGGTTTGTAGCATTATCTAATGTGTTAAGAAGGGACCAGCATGGTTTTCTGGAGGAATAAGAAAGTAAATCTTGCTTAGTTGTTTTGTTGATAAAGTAAAGCAGATGTAGTGTTTCTCTGTGAACAAGTTGTTGAGGGTTTTTTGTTCACAGGTGATGACACCTCAAGGCCGTGGAACAGTTCCCCCTCCCCCCCCCCCAGCCACTGCTAGCATAGCAGGAGCCCCGACTCAGTACACGCCAGGACGTGGGGGTCCTCCTCCACCCATGAGTAGAGGAGCACCTCCTCCAGGTAGGAAGTACTTTATATGACTGAGACAGCAAAGGGTGTGTAATATGTGGCTGGATTGGTGATGAAGAACTGGTCTGAGTCTGATGAAGAGTTGGTGTTTAGCAGGATTATTCTGAAATCCAGCTCATGCCTTTAATATGGAGCTGGATTTATATACAAAATCTAGGAAACAGAAAACAAAGCAAGCAACATGGTGAAGGCTTTGGTTTTTAGCAAACGCAGATACATTCCTTGTTAAGGCTGGCTTGTCTGATACAAGCATAGCCCATGGTCTAGCAGTTTGAGACATATTCTTTCTTTGTCCTAAGGAATGATGGGACCTCCTCCAGGCATGAGACCACCTATGGGCCCACCAATGGGAATGCCGCCTGGCCGTGGTGCTCCTATGGGGATGCCTCCACCAGGCATGAGACCGCCACCCCCAGGAATGAGAGGTGAGCAGAAGTTATTTTAAATGCCTAGAAGCATGGAGGAGCCTTAACACAAGGTAAGATGTCTGGAGCATGATATGTTTCAATGGCTTCCTAGCTATGCTAGTTGTCTGTAGGTGCCTCAGTGGCCTAACCACATTTCTAGGCCACTTTGAGCACTGGCGAAAAAAGAATCTTCCTGGTTCAGCTTTGTTTCACCTTTCTTCTCTTCCATATTCAAGCTGAATATTCACTATTGAACTCATTTTCTTTACTCCCAGGACCCCCTCCACCTGGCATGCGCCCACCAAGGCCATAGGATATTCTGTAATGTACCTGTGAACTGTGAGAAGACTGGTTAAGGGAATATACTGAGCAGTACCACCTGTCCAAACTTTGTTATGTATATTTTCTATTTACTGCTTGTAAAGCTCACCTTTTTTAATAAAGCTGGAAAACCTTATACCTGAAGTCACTGTTGTGCTGCTGTCTTTCAGGGATGCAACTGTTACTTTTCAGTACGGCATTTCTATTACATGGAAGGGCAGCTCTGAAGGGAAAGGCTCTATTTGTATAGGCAGCTCAAACATTAGCAAACTAATTCTTTATTGACCTGTGTCCTTTATACCTTAATTCCTATATCAATGAAATTCAGCAAGTGGCAGATGAAAGATAATCTGTAAGGATAGTGAAGATAGACTTAATTTCTCTTTAGTAACCTCAAATTTCATAACCATGTTAGTAAAAAACAGACTTATTTCTCCCACTTTACACAGAGCAGAGTAAGTACAATGCTACTTGGCTTGAGTATGATCACTATTCTTAATACAACTTCCTCGTAAGTGGAGCTGCATTGCTTCTGCTTTAAGAAAATATATGCCAGGATAAGCAAACCTGTCATTAGTCACATACAATACTGTAAAGCGGCTGCCATTCTGGTTGCAGGCTTAGATTCTTGCCCCATAGTCTATAGCTGCTTTATTTTCTGGCAAGAGGAAGATGTTTGCCTCTCCCCCTTTGAGATGTGCCCATCCTTCAGATACCACGCACCTAAACACTGTAATTGTTGCATCAGAATTTTTCTCCATTTCAGAAGTAGGTTCTGAACGGTTCAGCCCTATTAAGTAATGGGGATCACAACAGCACAATGGCAAAGCAGGAACTGTTATCCAATTTTTACCTAGAGACAACAGCTTGATTTAAATGAGTCAGACAAAGATATAACGTATCCCAGCTCTCAGTTGCTCTAGGAATTCTATAAAATACTAGAGCAAACTATTTAGAAAAGAAAAAAGAAAGAAATCAATCCTTTATTGCACAGGTTGCTAGAGATGTAGTTTTTTACATATGGGTCTTCACCAACTATTTATGAACAGCTCAGAACATCCCAAAGCTTTAAAAAAAAAAAAAAAAAAACCACTGTTTAATTTCACTGAGGTTGTCACCTCCCAGCACAAAATCCAGGCCCCTGAAGACTGTGTCTGGAATACCTGCATTGTTCAAGTTATCCACTTGGCGAAACACTTTATTTTCTCTTGTACCTGAAAGAGAAAGTTCCTGAAATCATGTTCCATCACAGCTGATAAATACAGAACAGTACTGAACAGATTTTATAGAAAATGCCCTCCCAAGCAGAAACCTAGGAACATGCTCTTAAAGGCAGTAGTGGTGCTCTTGACTGTCCCAAGCATCAGACCTGCAGTAGTAGGGCAAGCTGCTGCAGCGCAAACCTTTTGGCAAGGGCCTTTTAAGCAAACAGGGTAAAAGGAAAGAGAAAGCAGGAAAAATTCTTGAATAAAGAAGTCAAGGGAGCTGCACCTGGACTTAGATTTGAAGTTTCCTCCTTTCCTGTGCTGGGCCATACCCAAGCGTTTCCGATCTTCAAATGACGGACTTTGTATGAGGGGGTGGAAAAAAAAAAAAAAGAGTAACAGTAAGACAAAAGTCACTAAAGTACATAACTCATCTGATCCAGGCTTCACCCTCCTACTATTTACAGGGACAAAGAATAGCAGGTGGTTTTTGTTCATGTATTAGAATTCAGTATTTGTCTGCTACTGATCTAACCTTAGTCAAAAGGAGTGGCTTGCTCTTCCAGACATGCTTCTGACATCAGAAAGGGCTAATGAAAGCTGTTTTACCATGCCACAGGTACTTCTTGCAAGATATGCTTTCTCTGCTCTGCCCATGAGGTAACTAGAGGGCATGAGTCTCCCTTCCTCCCAGGATCAGACAAAGCATCCCCAGAAAATCCATTGCTATTAAGATGCATTACCCTGCACGATACTGCTTCAGAGCCTTCCTGCTTGTGTTGGTAAGCTCTTCATCAAACACAGACAGCTTTTTCTTCCGCTTGGGGCCTAACGCAAAACAGAGACAATAGTCAGAACCTTGGCTGTAAGGAGGAGGCCAAAGCATTGTCCTGTTTACTGGAGCCCAGTAGCCTTGACAGTTACAATCCATGTAGCCAGCAGGAAAAACAATTACTCTCTTTGCAACAAGAGCCTGACTGGTACCAGCAGCCATTCCTTCAACACAAGGACTGCCTACCACTGCACAAATTAGCTTACCTCACCTATATGTAACAAAGTAACTGATGTAGGGCAGTCAAGTTGTAAAACAAAAGTCTTCCCCTACCTGCTGGCGCTGCTGCTGGTTCCTCTTCTGGCAAGGCTCGGGCTCGCTTTGCTCGGCGATTCCTTTTTGCCATCCGCTCAGCATACATTTGAGATTTCAAGATTTCAAACTGTGACCTCTCCTCTGGCTAGGAAATGTTAAAATGCAAGTATATAGCGATGTGAGCGTTTGCTGAGTGGAAACTGGGATAATCCACCCCAGCATCCCATTTGTCCATACATCTACTCACTGTCATTTGGACTTTTTTCTGTGTATCCTGCATAAACTTCTTTCTTTTCTTTTTCCCTCGTAATGCTAGGTCAAACTCCTGCAGGGCTTTAGCCACTGGACAAAAACAGAGAAAAACATGGGATAAAGAATATCTTCTACAAAAGAAGTACAGAGCAGCATCCAGTTGTTATGGCTAGCACTTAAGATGGCTAGCAGCTTCATGCCTCACGTTTTTCTTTCTTCCTCTCCTCACGGGTCTGGAACCAGCTTCGCTCCAAACCCTCGCTGGCAGTCTCCTGTTTTCCTGTCTCCAGCTGCTTCTTTGCCCTGTTGATCTGAGACAATTCAGGCAAAAAGCTAGCTCATGGCTGCTAAGGAAAAATCTATGTCTTCCCTTTCTACATTAGAGCAACCTTCTTAAACACTCCATCAACTCCAGATCAACATCCTTAAAAAAATCCCTCCCACCCACCAAACCAACAACTTACCTGCGCTTCTGACTGCTGCATCTCACGCTCCTCACGCTCCAAGCACAGAACTGCATAGACATCTTTCTCTAGGTTCTCAATCTTCTCTCGGAATTTTAGTATGACATCTGAAAAAAAATCCAGCATGAGCAATCTGAGAAGCAGCCCACGCAATGTCCATCCTCCAATTCAGCACCTCTTATAATATTCCAACATATTAGTGTCCCTCCTCTGTACCACGACATTCCCTGCCTGCCTCCTGCCTGTTTTCCCCCTCAGTGGAGTGTGTACCTTGTGGAAGAATTCTGGCTTTCACTGGTGTTTTGGCAGTTTTCACAATATCCTTCAGCATCTTGCGCTCTTCCTCACCCACAAGTGAAACTGATCGGCCAGCCCTGCCAGCTCTTGCTGTCCGCCCCACCCGATGCACGTAGTGTTTGGTGGTGTTGGGCATGGTAAAATTGATTACCTATGAAAGAAACAGTTTTAGCAGCAAAACATAAAAGGTTCCAAAGCTCGTGAAAAAGCTCAGCACTGCAAATACTCACTGTTTTGACACCTTCAATGTCAAGTCCTCGTGCAGCCACATCTGTGGCTACCAGAATATCAATCTGCTCATCCTTAAAGCGCCTGAGCAGAGATAACAAATACATTGGCAAAGAATGCAGCAATTCACTCCTGCCCAAAACTTCCAACTTGAACTTTTCTTCCTATGAGTACTCATTAAGCCTGGCAATACCTGAGTGCCTCCAGCCGCTGTGCCTGAGAGAGGTTCCCATGAAGCTCCCCAACCCGTAGACCCATCAGCCCAAGTAAGATGTGCATACGGTGAGCTTGCTTCTTGGTCTGGGTGAAAAGCATCACGTGATCAGGGAAGGTTCGTGTCAGCAGAGCTGAAAGAAAGTCCTATCAGCAGCCTGCTCCAGAGTCACCTACTAAGTCCAGCTTTTCCTCCCTCATCATTCACCTGATACAATGGCCTCACGGTCCCCCTCTCGGTTGGGTCGGATTCGAATAAATTCCTGCCGCAGGAAAGGGGCAACATCTGTGTTGCTGTTCACAAAAATCCGGGTAGGATTTTTCAGAGAAACAGAAGCCAAATCTTTCACCTACCAAAACAGGTAAGGAAGAAAGTCCACATACTCTCAGGTAACAGATTTAGTAGACAGCCCTCTATTCAGCTTTCTGCCTGAAAGTGCTTCCCAGCAGCATGCCTTACCTCCTCTGTCATTGTGGCAGAGAAGAGCATTGTCTGACGGTGTTTGGAGCACAACCTGATTATTTCCTTCATCTGCTCCTCAAAGTACTCATCCAGCATCCTACACAAGAGAAATATAGCAAAGCAGCTTGAATGGTTCTAGCCAAGGCCCATTACTTAGGGCAATAACCACTGCCCTATACCCTGGGGAAAGGAAAACGGGAAGCCACCATTTCCTTTTTCATTACTGTTCTGCCCAGCTTACCTATCTGCTTCATCCAAAATCAGCACTTCAATACTGCTCAGGTGGAAAGAGGGGCAGTTGTGCAAATGATCAATCAGCCGCCCAGGAGTGGCGATAAGAATGTCTGGCCCAGAGCGTAGAGCTGCTTCCTGAGTCTTCACATCTAGGCCACCTGAAAGAGAGTGAACATGGACCACTGACTCCCTGAGCAGGATTTAAGAATACACAAACCCAAATACTCTGAAGACTGGGAAACAATTATGATTAATACCATGTTCACAATTAGAAATGACCACCTTTCTTTTATCAGAAAAAAAAAAAACAGAATTGCACGCTATTGGAAAGTGAGAACTTAAACTATAGCACACCTACTCAAAGCATGCCTGCAATAACCATACAGCCTCCAGTTTTAAAGCACAGGATTCCAAGTGCTGTACAGAAGCTTGCAGTGAGATGTATGGTTTACTTAAGCAACTTAATGCTCACCTACAGCAAGGCAAGTTGTGATGTTGCTAAACTGTGCCAACTGCTTTGTAACAGAGTGCACCTGAATACCCAGTTCTCGAGTTGGCACCAGAACCAATACCCGCGTTATTGGAGCCTGACGAGGTTTATAAATCAGGCGCTCAAGTACAGGCAGGACGAAGGCAGCTGTTTTACCTACAGAAGAAAATGAAGAAGAATTACTAAGCTATTGTGGATAGTTA